TTAGCCCCCATACGTATGTATGTATGTAGGATAATACAAACCACTATTTGATAATTTAGGCTGGTTAGTAGGCGTTGGTTTGAGAGAACGCAAGTTAAAAGAATGCGTTCTACAATGAAGCTTGGCAGAGACTACTTTGGCCAGTAAATTAACATATTAACGAGAGATAAATTAATATTTCATATCAATAATTGCATGAAAAATTATATTTCTTGCCTTCATTTGATTAACAGGAAAAAACATTTCATTTTATTTTATTTATTTGCAACAGCTGGCTGCTTTGAAATTCGACTCCAACGCAACGCCAAAGTTGTATGCGAACCGGTCTCTATTCTTTGTTTACAAGAATGATAGAATACAAGATTGCGCCGATCAGAGAGGATTTTTGAGAATAACTTTTGTGTGACGTCACACTGGTGCAATTGCGAGAGAGAAATGCCAAAACGTGAGCAAGAATGGAAGAAGGAGCAAAAATGTTGCAAGGAAAACGTAAACAATTTGCACCAGTGTGACGTCATGCAAACAACGATTCTGTCAAATTCGTTAAGAGAGGAATAGCGGTCCGAGATCGGCGCAACCTTTATATTCTCTCAATCGTGCTTTGTTTATGGAAATTTTTGCATTTCTACATATCCATATATACCCATGGTGAAATGAACTGAAGGTGGCGCATTCCCGAAACCGCTACTTTGGTTTTACCGACTTTGACATTTATGGCAATACGTAAACAAACTTTTTGTTTAGAAACAAGTGCAAGTTTGCAATACACATATTGTGTACTTTCAAGGGAAAATCGGAGTAATTCGTGCGTTCTGAAGTAAAAAACGTTTTATTTGTAATAAAAACTTTATAAAAATGTCGTGCGTGTGTTGAATTGCAGCAGCCGTAGAGGTAAAGCCCCCAAATGCAGTTTTTTTTTGTTTCCCCGCGACGACGTCTTGGCCAGAAAGTGGGTAGAGTTCTGCCGGCAGGAGAAGCCATAAAATTTAGACACCAGCGTAATATGCATGAAGCACTTTACGGACCACTTTTAAACACGACATGTTAAGTTGAAAACGTTGAAGTACCACAAATTACAAACTAAAATCGTAGGTAAGCAAGCATCGACCACTTTCTGCAGGAAAACATGCGCTGCGACTAGATATTATCATTTTTTCGGCACCTGCAATACAAACACAAAAATTCTAAATAGTTAATTAATAAGACCTATTCTTTTGAACACATTTCAAGAGTGGTTGTATATTGTTTGTTAACGTAGTGCTTAATTTGCTATATTCAAAGATGGCTTGAGAAATTGGTGAATCGAGAAGAAAACACGTTTTCTCACTGCAAATTCACAACTGTCAACTCATTGTTCTTCGCCATATTCTTTGTTTACCCGTTGCCACAAATGTCATTCTGCGGGAATGCGCAATCATGTATTCTATCGTTCTTGATATATACCTGCATACATATGTCCTTGAACAACAGGCCACAAATAAATTTTTTCACCAAGGACTATATTTCGTTCAGGTATACAGCATAACTGCTACAAGTAGCAAACTATTTTGGGGTGTTAACAAGTGCTTACCTGTTTTTTGTTTCTGCGGCACAAACGATTATAATATCTTCGTTACTTACTTTTCTCTGTAAAGACAAAA